AAAAAAAGTTATTAAAAAATAAATAAATAAAATCAAAGGAAAGACAAACAAATGGCAATACAGATGCTAACATATCAATATTAACTCTAAATGTAAATGGACTAAACTCTTCAATAAAAAGACACAGAGTTGCAGCCTGGATTAAGAAACAAAACCCAACCTTTTGCTGTCTCCAGGAACACATTTAGCTACAAAAGATAAAAATAGGCTCAAAGTCAAAGGATGGAAAACAATCCTACAAGCAAATGGGCCAAAAAAGAAAGCAGGAACAGCTATACTTATATCAGATAAAACAGACTTCAAACTCAAAAAATAAAAAGAGACCCAATGGTCACTACATTATGATTAAGGGGACAATACTTCAAGAAGAAATAACACTCATTAACATATACTCACCAAACGAAAGAGCACCAAAATATATCAGACACTGTTGTCCTCTCTGAAAACAGACATCAGAGAAAACACATATGTAGTGGGGAGACTTCAACACACCACTATCAACAATGGATAGATCAACAAGACAAAAAATAGGTAAAGAAACTAAAGCTCTAAATAAGGACCTAGAGCATTTGGGCTTAACAGACATCTATAGAACACTAAACCCAAAAAAAAAGGAGTACACATTCTTCTCTCAGCGCACACGGATCATTCTCCAGGATCGATCACATACTGGGGCACAAGACAAACATCAACAGATACACCAAGATTGAAATCATACCAACCATCTTTTCTGACCACGAAGGCATCAAACTAGAAATAAATAAAAAGAAGGCAAGGAACTATCCTACCTCATGGAGATTAAAAGCCACACTACTGGAAGACACTGGACTAAACGAGGAGATCAAAGAAGAAATTAAAAAATTCTTTGAATTGAATGACAAGGAGGACACCAATATCCTAAATGTATGGGATGCAGCAAAAGCAGTAATAAGAGGAAAATATATAGCAATAGAAGCTCACATCAAAAAAAGAAAGAACTCAAAGAAACAACCTAATCTCGAAGCTCAAAGATCTGAAAAGAACAACAAAAAAACCCCAGAACAGTAGAAGAAAAGAAATAATAAAACCAAAGCAGAAATAAATGAAATTGAAACTAAAAAACAATCCAAAAGATCAATAAACCAAGAGCTGGTTCTTTGAAAAAATAAATAAAATAGACAAACCCCTAGCCAGGCTCACAAAGGAAAAAAGGGAGAAAGCACAATACACAGAATCATAAATGAAAGAGGAGAAATCACAACGGACACAGCAAAATCAAAAGAATAATCAGTAACTACTATGAACAGTTATGGAAACAAGTTCAACAATCTAGAGGAGATGGACAAATTCCTACAACTCTACAATCACCCAAAGCTAGATAAAGAAGAATAGAACACCTAAACAGACCAATTACAAGCAGCGAAATTGAAATGGTAATAAAAACCTCCCCAAAAACAAAAAGCCCAGACCTGATGTTTACAATGAATTCTACCAAACATTCAGAGACGAATTGTGCCTATCCTTCACAAACTCTTCCAAAAAATTGAGAAGAAGGACAATACCAAACACGTTCTATGAAGCCAATATACACTAATACCAAAACCGAATAAGGACAACACAAAAAAGGAAAACTATAGGCCAATCTCCCTAATGAACACTGATGCAAAAATCCTCAATAAAATTTAGCTATCAGAATCCAACAATGTATCCATAAGATAATTCACCACGACCAAGTTGGATTCATTCCAGGGGCACAAGGATGGTTTAACATCCGAAAATCAATCAACGTTATCCAACACATCAACAAAAAGAAATATAAAAACCATATGATAATATCAATAGATGCTGAGAAAGCTTTCGACAAAGTGCAACACCCATTCATGATAAAGCCCTTGAAATTCTTGGGATACAAGGAACATACCTCAACATCATAAAGGCCATCTATGACAAGCCAACAGCCAGTATCATTCTCAATGGTGAAAAGCTGAAAGCATTCCATTAAGATCTGGAACAAGACAAGGATGTCCACTCTCACCACTGCTTTCAATATAATACTGGAAGTCCTAGCCAGAGCAATAAGACAAGAGAAAGACATCCAAGGAATCCATAGGAAAAGAAGAAGTCAAACTATCACTATTTGCAGATGATATGATAATATCATAGAGAACCCCAAATCTCCACAGAAAAACTAATTCAACTCATCAATCAGTCAGTAAAGTGGCAGGATACAAAATCAACACCAAAAGTCAGTAGCCTTCCTATACACAAACAATAAATCTGAAGAAGAAGAAATCAAAAAAACCACCCCTTTTATTATCGAAACAAAAAAAATCAAATATTTGGGAATAAATCTAACAAAAGAGGTAAAGGACCTATACAAAGAAAAACTATAAAACACTGTTAAAAGAAATAGAAGAAGACACAAAGAAATGGAAAGACATCCCCTGCTCATGGATTGGAAGAATAAACATTATTAAATGGCCATCCTACCAAAAGCAATATACAGATTCAATGCTATTCCAATCAAAATCTCAATGGCATTCTTCAAAGAAATAGAACAATTATTGATGAAATTCATATGGAATCACCAAAAACCCGAATAGCCAAAGCTCTACTGAAAAAAAAAAAGGAAATGGAGGCATCACACTCCCAGACTTCAAACTATACTACAAAGCCATAATCATCAAAACTGCATGGTATTGGAACAAGAACAGACATACAGACCAATGGAATCGAATAGAAAATCCAGAAATAAACCACAGATTTATGGTCAACTAATCTTTGACAAGGAGCAAAGACTATGCATTGGAGCAAAGAAAGTTTGTTCAATAAATGGTGCTGGGAAACTGGGTCGCTACATGCAAAAGAATGAAGCTTGACCACTACCTCACACCATACCAAAAATCAACTCAAAATGGATTAAAGAACTAGACATAAGACCTGAAACCATAAAATACATAGAAGGAAATATAGGCGAAACACTACGGGATTTGCACATCAAAGACATCTTTACAGACACATCACCCAAAGCAGTGATAGTGAAGAGAAAGATAAACAGCTGGGACTACATCAAATAAAGAGCTTCTGCACAGCAAAAGAGACAATAACAAAACAAAGAGAAACCCCACCACTGGGAGAACATTTTTGCACCCAACACTAATGATAAAGGACTGATCACAAAAATCTGCAAAGAGCTGATGAGACTCAGCAACAACAAAGAAAATAATCCAGTCAAAAAATGGGCAGAAAGAGCTAAAAAGAAACTTCTCTGAAGAGGAAATGCAAATGGCCAACAGACATATGAAAAAATGTTCAACATCACTTGTAATCAGGGAAATGCAAATCAAAACTACCATGAGATACCATCTCACACCAGTGAGAATGGCACATATTAAAAAAACTAGCAACAACAAATGTTGGCGAGGATGTGGAGAATAAGGAACTCTTGTGCACTGTTGGTGGGAGTGCAAACTGGTCCAACCACTTATGGAGAGCTGTGTGGAGATTTCTGGACCTACTAAACATAGAGCTTCCATATGATCCAGCAATTCCACTCCTAGGTATTTACCCAAAGGACACAGAAAATCAATTCCCAAAGAGCACCTGCACTCCTATGTTTATAGCAGCACTGTTTACAATAGCTAAGCTTTGGAAACAACCCAAATGCCCAAAAATAGATGACTGGATCAAGAAGATGTGGTACATATATACCATGGAATTCTCAGCATTCAAAAAGATAAACACATGCAATTTGCAGCAACATGGATGGCACTGGAAGGGATCATGCTCAGCGAAATAAGCAAAAAGAAAAAGAAAAATACCGGATGGTCTCACTCATAGCAGGAATCTAGAAAACTTAAATAAGGGACCAGGAAAATGAATATAAGAAAGTGAAATCAAAATCAACAAAAAACTATGAACCAGAGACACTTTTTGGGGGTGGGGGGCGGGAGGGGAAGGATTGGGGTCAGAATGGGGCGTTTGCAATTGTATGGGGGAATATAAAAATAAATTTAATATTTTAAAAAAAAAAAAAAAAAGAATCAAAT